ATGATCCTCAGATCTCAGCCTTCTGAGTAGTTAAGATTATAGGCATGAGCCACCAACACCCGACTATCTTTTATTCTACTGGATATCTTTGGCTTCTGTAGAATACCAGATAACTAAGTATATAGCTTTATTTCTCTTCTCATTTGTTCCATTGATCTTCTTCGGGCCTGTTTTTATGTTAGTACCAAACTGTTTTGTTATAGCTCTGTAGTAAAGCTTGAGCAAGATCACTGTTTTTTGTTTTAAACATTTGCTACTAACTAGTTTATTATAAAGAATGTTACAAAGAAAGAATAAAGAAAATCGAAGAACAGGACAAGGTAGAGGGGAAGAAGTTTGGAGCCTGCATGTTCTAGGTATGTTGTTCACTAGGAAACTTGTATATTCAACTTTCTACAAGTTCTTCAGACCCTGCCTTTTGAATTTTTAAGAAAACTTTATTGTTAATACAAAGGTGATGCACTGATGAATGAAATCAGATAATGAATATATTTCATTTTGGACAGTGTAATACTTTCCTTTATTCTCTCCCAGTTTTTCCCTCCTGTACCCAGCCGCAAGTTATATAGTTCATTAAAAAAAAAAAAGTTTTATTGCTAGGTGCTAGTGGCTCACGCCTGTAATCCTAGCTACTAAGGAGGCTGAGATCTGAGGATGGAGATTCAAAGCCACCCAGCCACCTGGGCAGGAAAGTCCATGAGACTCTTATCTCCAATTTACAACCAGAGAACCAGAAGTGGTGCTGTGGCTCAAAGTGGTAGAGCACTAGTCTTGAGCTGAAGAGCTCAGGGACCAGTACTCAGGCCCAGAGTTCAAGCCCCATGACCAGAAAATTAAAAAAAAATTATTGCTGTTATAAAGGTGATATACAGAAGCATTACAGTTGTCAGGTCTTTTTGGACAGTGTACCCCTTATTCTCTTCCAGTTTTTCCCTCTTGTCCCCACCTACAAGTTGTATAGTTCATTTTCAACATCATGCCTAATGAATACCACTGCTGCATTTATTCACTCTATAGTCCTCCATTTTTGTGCTCCTCTTAACCTCTCCCCCAAGACAGAAAAATGAACAAACAAGACAAAAGAAAAAACATCCTCTTGTCTCTATTTCCTGGAGTTCATTTTGACAAATGTTTTTAAAAACTTTTTTTGTTGGTCATGGGGGTTGAACTCTGGGCCTTGGTGTTATCCCTCAGCTCTTCAGCTCAAGGTGAGTGCTCTACAGCCATTGTACCACTTCTGGTTTTCTGAGTGGTTTATTGGAGATAAGAGTATCTTAGACTTTCCTGCCCAGGCTGGCTTTGAACCACGATCCTCAGATCTCAGCCTCATGAGTAGCTAGGATTACAGATGTGAGCCACTGACACCCGGCATATTACAGATTATTTTATATGATCAGAGGCACAGAGGCATTACAGCTCTGTGTTCCTTCCCTAAGACTATCCTCTTCTAGTCTCACTGTATGTGAATGACTAGAGTGCTGTATAATTTATCATGTGTTTTAGATCTAGCTTCTGCATATGAGAGAAAATGTGCTGTTTGTCTCTCTGAGCTTGGCTTACCTCACTTAACATGATTTTTTTCTAGATCCATCCATTTCCCTGCAAATGGCATAACATTATTCTTTCTAATGTCTATGTAAAATTACATTGTGTATAGGTATCCCTTTTTTGGATACATTTATCTATTGTGGGGGTATCTAGGCTGTTTCTATAGATGCCCAGGAGTGGTATGGCTAGTTCATAGAGAAGATCTATGTTTAGTTTTTTGAGGAACCTCCAGACTGCTGTCCAAAGTAGTTGTATTAGTTTACATTCCTATCAATAGTACAATAGGTTTCTTTGCCATTCTTATTCCCATAAGTTTCTCGTTAGTTCCTTGGCCCATTTAGTGATTGGCTTATTAGCTTTGGGAGCTCCTTGTATATTTTGGATATTAGGCCTTTGTCAGCTATATTGCTGACAAAGAGCTTTTCCCAGTTTGTTCAGCTGTCTTTTTAGTTTGATTTAATCCCATTTGTCAAAGTGTCTCTCATATCTGCCATGCCCCTGGGAGTCTTCAAAATTTTCTGCCTGTGCCTATGAATTCTAGTGTTTCTCCTATTCCCTCTTGCAGTAACTTTAGTAACTGTGGTCTAATGTTACGGTCTTAGATCCACTTTGAGTTAAAATTAGTCCATAATGACAAACAGGGATTCATTTTTAGTTTTCTGCATATGGATGCTCAGTTTTCCCAACATAGTTATTGAAGAGGCTATCTGTTTTCTACTGTATATCTTTGGCTATCTTATAACTGTAAGTATATGATTTGATTTCCAGGTCTTCTAGTCCGTCCTATTGATCTTTGAGTCTATTTTTTTGTTGTTGCCAATACCAAGCTGTTTTTGTTATTATAGCTCTGTAGTTGAGCTTGAGGGATTGTGATACTACCTGCATTGCTTTTTTGCCTAGAATTGTTTTGGTTATTCCAGGTCTTTTCATTGTTCCATAAGAATTTTGGATTGTTTTCTTTATCCATTTTTTTTTGGGGGGGTCCCGTCATGGGGCCTGAACTCTGGGCCTGGGCGCTGTCCCTCAGCTCTTCAGCTCAAGGCTAGCGCTCTACCACTTGAGCCACAGCGCCACTTCCGGTTTTTTTTCTTTTTGCTTATGTGGTGCTGAGGAATCGAACCCAGGGCCTCAAGGCATGCAAAGCAAGCACTCTGCCACTGAGCCACCTTCCCAGCCCCTGTTTTCTTTATCTTGAAGACCACAAAATTTAAGATTAATATAATACAGACTAGTTTTTTATCACATATGTTAGAAGTTTATGGATGTATATGTATCCTAGGGCTAAGGGTGAACCAAGTAAATAGACTTCATAGAGACTAAAGATGAACTTCAAAGAATTCCTTAGGAAGATCTTATTATAGGTATCTGGTTGAACTTGCATCCCATAATGAAATGTAAAAAGATAATGCCATTCGGTTCTTTGTATGATTTTTGTAGTTGTTGTATTAATAGTGGGTGGGCACTCAGTAAAAAAGTATCCTGGCATACAAAAACATTAGTTGTCTGAACAGCCAATAGAACTGACACATCATAGAAATACAGCCCAACAAGGGCTGGGAAGGTGGTTCAGTGGTAGAGCGCTTGCCTTGCATGCATGAGCCCTGGGTTCAATTCCTCAGCACCACATAAGCAGAAAAAAAAAAGCCGGAAGTGGCGCTGTGGCTCAAGTGGTAGAGTGCTAGCTTTGAGCTGAAGAGTTAAGGGACAGTGCCCAGGCCCAGAGTTCAGGCCCCACGACCGGACCCCCCCCAAAAAAGAAAAGAAAAGAAAAACAATACAGCCCTAGCAAATCCTGACCTTTCTCAGTACATTTTACAGATACTGATAAAGAAATGTATGACTTGCTAACCTAATTTTCTCCCTTAAGTTTCATGATCATACACATTTGTTTTTAACTAGTAGTTATCATTAAAAATGTTTTTGGAATTCTTTCATGGCCATTCAGAAGTTTGATGAAATCTCTCCTCATTCTACTGTCCCACTCAGGACATGAGTAACCCCTTTGGCTCAGTGTTTCCACACTTATGCACTACCTACTTGTTAGTCACTTAGCCTCTGTCTTAGCTATCAGATTAATTTATGGTTTCATGGTGCTTGTATTTAACCCTTATTTTAGGTAATAATAGCTACAAAGCACAAGAGTAGTGATGCTGGCAATTGGAATATGCCAAAGAGAAGCCAAAAAGTTCATCCTTTAAGTGAAAAGGTGAAGTTTTGTTTTGTTTATTGCTGGTATACAAAAATGAAACTTATTTTTAATATTGACTACTTAATCATCATCAGTCTTGTTATGTTTTGGACATATCCTCCAAGAATAAGGTACCATGGCTTATATAATAATTTGTTCCCTCCTTCAGACACCTTTAAGCTACTTTCTATTTCTCCTTTTTACAACAAAGCATATTTTATATGTGTATCTTTACATTTATATATATTTCTGTCAAATTAATAGAAAACATTGCCAAGACAAAAGGTATGTATGCTTAAAATTATAATACTTAAGAGATGCCCTTCAAAATGCAACCTGTTCCAGTTTATACTTCCTCTGTTATGTCTGAGAGAGTACCATTTTCTAATTTTTTTTGGTTGCTATTGTGTTTTTAAATTTGTTTTGGTGCTGGGGTTTAAACCCAAGGCTTTTTTCACTTTCTAGACAGATACCACTTGAGTCATGCCTCCAGTCTTTCTTTTTTAACTGGTTGTGGGACTTGAACTCAGGGCCCGGGCACTGTCCCTGAGCTCTTTTGCTCAAGACTAGCACTCTACCACGTTGAGCCACAACTCCAATTCCAATTTTCTGGCGGCTAATTAGAATGAAAGTCTCATGGACTTTCATGGACTTTCATGTGCGGGCTAGCTTTGAACCTTTTCCTCCTGAGTAGCCAGGATTACAGGCATTAGCCACCAGCACTCAGCTTTCTTCTTTCTCCTTCTCCTCATCCTCTTTTTGTTGGTTATGGGGTTTGAACTCTGTCCCTCAGTTCAAGGCTAGTGCTTTACCATTTGAGCCACTGTACCATTTATGGTTTTCTGAACGGTTTATTGGTGATAAGAGTCTCACTGAGTTTCCTGCCCGGGCTGGCTTTGAACTGTGATCTTCAGATCTCAGTCTCCTGAGTAGCTGGGATTGTAGGCGTCAGCCACCAGCGTCCGGCTTCTTCTTTTTTTAAACTTTATTTTTCAGATTGAATCTCCTACTTTTTGCCTGGGCTGGCCTTGGACTGCAGTCATCCTGCCTGTTTCCGCATAGCTAGGATTATAGACATGAGCCACCTATGGTGCCTGCTGCCATTTTCCAGTGTCCTTGCTAACAGTAAATAATATCAATCTTTTACATATTTGCTACTAACAAAAACATGGGCCACAAAGAGTTTTCATCTCTATGTAGTTGTAAATGAATAAATTAGAGAATACTAGAAACCCAAACAAAATAAATATGTTATTGTTTCCAGGTCAGTGCTGACAGTTGCTTGTGAACAGACTGAAGTTCTGCTTTTTGACCCTATATCCTCAAAGCACATAAAAACACTCTCTGAAGCTCATGAAGACTGTGTAAATAATATAAGGTGAGTATGATAGTGAAAAGGCAAACTTATAAATTGTGATGTTTTGTTTTGGAAGTTAGTATTTCATGCCTTATGGTGCTAACTGATCCACATAATTGGATTGTGATTCTAATTCTTTGTAGAACTTATCCCTTTAATTACAAAATTTACTGTCAACCTTTTTGATTGGAATCTTTCTGAAATTGTTCACTTCCATGGTTTTTTCTTTCCTTTGTATAGCAAGGTCATAATCGTGAACATCAGCCATGTATTCTACTAGTAGTTTTGCTTTACATCTCTCATCAGCATCCCAAAATCCAAACCACTGACAGTAAAATACACATCTATATGGAGAAAGCTTCTTTGTAGTATTATTGGAAGCTCTTTAAATTCTCAACAATTTTTAAGTAAATACAGTTGAACAGTTTGGTGGATTAAAATGCAGTTATTGAAAGGATGGCTATATATACCATATAGCAAATGGTTGAGATAATATAAGATAAAATCATGATAAAATTATATAAGCATGAAATGATATAGAAAAAATAGATTAGAAGGAATTATTTTTTAATGTTAGCAGCTTAATTAGAATGGGTGGATTACCACTGATTTTCCTACTTGCTAACCTTTATGAAATGAGATTATAGTAGTTTTATAATTAAAACTTTTGATGCTTAAAAAATGTAAAGATTACTTCTAGGCAAGATCACATTCTGAGTTTTGATATTTCTCAATTGCTTCAGATACTTAGAGTGGTAGATTAAGTAGCATACAAGGTATAGCAAGTTTCTAAAACAATATAATAAAAACCCTGTGGGCCAGACACAGAGCTTTAAGCAGGACTGAAACCACAAGCACACTAGGTTTTCATTCTAGGATCAACAGTTAGTAGTAAGTGATCTTATCAGGTAAAAGGATTAAAAAATGCTAACGTGTTTCATGTGATGTAGGAACAAGAATCAGAATCACTACATGAAACCCAGATTTTGGTTGAGATGTCTGTCTCATTTGTGAAAAACTGATAAAAGAAAAAAAATGATTACTTGGGGCTATAGATTTTAGCTGATACAATCATAGCCTCCTCAAATGAACCTGAATTAAACTACTTGCTGAGTCACTGACTGAATGTACATGTGTGATCCTTACAATATTATCATGGAACTGGAGCCCTGAAAAATCATCGTAAAGCCTGATTGTGGATTGGGGGCTAGATGGCCAAGTAGAGGCAACTCTAAAATAATGTAAAAGGAAGAGAGAGAAAAGAAAGTTAAAAACTTTTCATACTCAAGCCTATAACCAAATTCATGAAGACATCTAATATCAAGATAATAGATTTCAGCCACCAGGCCTGGCATGGTTGCACCCATCTGTAATTCTAGCACTTGGGAGGTAGAGATACAGGGCTGTAAGTTCAGAGCAGGCTAGGCTTCACAGCAAGTTCAATGTCAAGCTTAGCTATATAGCACAATCCTGTTTCAAAAAGCAAGGATTAGGAGTATGGTGTAACTCAGTGGCAAAGTGCTTGTCTATCATGTGTAAAGCCCTGGACTCAACCTACAGACCTCAAAAGTGAAAGAAAAACCACCAGAACAGACATTTTCTTTGGAAGGAATTAATTTTAGACAATAGTCCAAGAAAGACTTTATTTAAAAAATAAATTATTTATTTTTTTTTGACTAGGTAATACATGCACGTGGTACAAAATTCAAAGGTACAAAAGGGTAAACAGTGAAAAGTAAGTCTATTTCACCTCTGTCGCCTAGCCACCCAGTTTCCCTCCCCAGAGGCAACCACTGTTACTAATTTTTTGCTATCCTTTCTGAGGTAGTTTATGTGTGTACAAGAATATATATACATATATACACATGTGTGTATACATATATATGTGTTTATATACAGACACATACATATACTTTTATATAAATGGTAGCATTCTACACATATTTAAATGCCTGCCTTTTACACTGAATATATTTAGAGATCATTCTGTTTACTATCCATGGGATGATCTTACCCTATTTAACCGTTGTATAGTATTCCATTGGTTGAGAAAAATGTTTAAGCATTTTTAACGTACTCAAAGGAATGGAGAGAGCTGTTAAAAAGTGCTGAAAATTATAAAAGAGGTGAAACAAGAACAGGTTAATGATTAAAAATTAGTTGGTATGTAAAAACTTGGAAATGTGAGAAGGAGGTTGTAAGTGAAGCTTTGTGATAGAACACTTGCTTAGCATGTGCAAGGCCCTAAGATTGATCACTAGCATTGTTAGAGAGAAACAAAATAGGAAGTTGGTGCTGGAAGAGGCATGTCTTGATTTTAGGTCTGGTAGTATAACTCAGAGGTAGAACAAGTGCTTAACATGTTTGATGACCTGGGTTCAATCCTAGCACCAAAATAAGAATTAAAAGTAAAAACTTCAATTGAGATAAGCCCTACCCTTTTACCACTGATGAATGTATTGGTGGATTGGATAATAGTACTAATCCTAACACTGGAGAGGTTCAAGCAGGAGGGTCTGAGTGGAAGGGCAGCCCTGGCCTACACATTGATGTCCTATCTCAAAAAGAAAAAAAATACGTTATTTAATATGCTATGTCCAAAATATTTCAACATTAATCAGTATAAAAATTGTTGATTTTTTTTTTCAAGAAATGTCTTTGAAATCCTGTGTGTATTTTTTTTTCTTTTTTTGGTCAGTCGTGGGGCTTGAACTCTGGGCTTGGGCGCTGTCCCTGTGCTCTTGAGCTCAAGGTGAATACTCAACCGCTTGAGCCACAGTGCCACTTCCAGTTTTCTCGTGGTTCATCGGAGATAAGAATCTCAGGGACTTTCCTGCTCGGGCTGGCTTTGAACTGCAATCCTCAGATCTCAGCCTCCTGAGTAGCTAGGATTATAGGCGTGAGCCACTGGTGCCCGGCTCTGTGTGTATTATTTTTTATTTTATTTTATTTTATTTGTCGGTCCTGGGGCTTGAACTCTGGGCCTAAATGCTGTCCCTCAGCTCTTCAGCTCAAGGCTAGCGCTCTACCACTTGAGCTATAGCGCCACTTCCCCTGTATGTATTTTTTTACACTTAGAGCACATCTCACTTGATCCAGTCCACATATCAAGTATTCAGAAATTAGATATGACTAATGACTGCCATATTGAACAGTGTAGCTCAGTTTCAGACAGTGACAACAAATAGGTTGAATGTATGAGGGAGTTTTGTTCAGTGAGGGACTATAATGTATAAGGCCTATATTATATTTAGACACATTTATTTGTTATTGTGCTGGCCCTGGGGCTTGAACTCAGGGCCTCATGCTGCTCCCTGAGCATTTGTGCTCAAGGCTAGCACTCTACCACTTGAGCCATAGTTCCATGTCTGGCTTTTTTGGTGCTAATTGGAGAGAAAAGTCTGATAGACTTTGTTATACATGCTGTCTTTGAACTGTGATCCTCAGATCTCAGCCTCTTGAATAGCTAGGTATACAGGCATGAGCCATCAATGCCCAGCTCTTCAGAAACTTTTAGATCAGTACGTAATTAAATGTATTACAATGAAAGACCTAAAATAAGGATAAACAATTTGTAACTCAGAGGCAGGAGTGAATTTGATCAGTTTAGTAGAAAACAGAAAAGTTTTAAAAAGTTTTATTTAAAAGAGATGATAAATAGAAAACAAGAAATAGAAAGGGTTCCAAATATGAGTGAGTGACAATATTGCCCCAGTACTGGAGCTTGAACTCAGGGCCTCACACTCTTGGCTTTTATTCTGATGGCTAGCACTCTACCACTTGAGGCATGCCTTAAGTTCTGGCTTTTGTTTTGTTTTGTTACTGGTCTCCTGGATTTCTCTGTCCAGAATGGCTTTGAACCATGATTCTCAGATCTCAGCCTCCTGAGTAGCTGGGATAATAGGTATGAGCCACTAGCAGCCTGCTTCATCCCTCCCTTCCCCTCCCCTCCCCTCCCCACCCCCTCCCTCTTTCCTTTCTTTCCTCCTTTCCTCCCTCCCTCCCTCCCTCCCTCCCTTTTTTCTTCCTTCTTTTCTTCCCCTCTCCCTCCTTCCTCTTTCCTTCCTGTCCTTGATGTTTTGTACTCAAGGCTAATGTTCTACCACTTGAGCCACAGCTCCACTTGTGACTTTTTTGTGGTAGTTAATTGGAAATAAGAGTCTGACAGGCTTTCATGTTGGGGCTGGCTTTGAACCACAGTCCTCACATCTCAGCCTCCTGAGTAGCTCTAGGATGACATGCATGAGACACCAGTGTAAGACTACGTCCATTTTTAAAAGGCACAGGAGGGCTGGGAAGGTGGCTCAGTGGTAGAGAGCTTGCCTTGCATGCATGAAGCCCTGGGTTCAATTCCTCAGCACCACATAAGCAGAAAAAGCTGGAAGTGGCGCTGTGGCGCAAATGGTAGAGCACTAGCCCAAGAGCTGAGGGACAGCACTCAGGCCCAGAGTTCAGGTCCCACAACCGACCAGAAAAGAAAAAAGGCACAGGGACAGCTGGGTTCTAGTTGAACATTGGCCAAGCAGGCCCTGAGTTCAATCCTTAGTACTACAAAAGAAAGAAGAAAGAAAAAGGCACATAGTCAGTAATTTATAATTTGAAAAATAGATGAAATCATCAAGGGTTAGGGTGTGGCTTAAGTAGTTGAGCCACCTGCCTGGTGAGCAGGAGTACTTGAGTTGAAACCCAAGTGCTCCAAAAAAGAAACCAACAAGCTGGGTGCCAGTGGCTCATACCTATAATTCTAGCTACTCACGAAGCTACTGACAATCTGAGGATTGTGGTTCAAAGCCAGCTCAGGCAGAAAAGTCATGAGATTCTTATCTCTAATAAATTACCCAAAAAGCCAGACAAGGAGCTGTGGTTCAAATGGTAGAATGCTAGCCTTGAGCAGAAAAGCTCAGGGATAGCATCCAGGCCCTGAGTTCAGCCCCAGTACCAACAACAACAAAAAAAAGTGAAAAGAAAAAAAATACTCATGTAACTGTAACCCCTCTGTACAGTATCTTTACAACAAAAAA